TTATAAGTTACAGATCCAGGTTGATTTCTTTATCACTAAGCACATAACTTGTAAATTAATTCTAACAATCCCTTAATTTCTTATAAAAGTCATCTGAACCATAATCAATTACTGAACCTTTTTACCGTATTCAGATCGAGTGTAGAACTTCATTAATTACACATATGAGACCAAACATTTCCATTCATGCATTTACCAATACCAACATGTTCTATAAAGCATAAAGAGGTAGTAAAGTATTACCTCGATTTTCATGCAATACTGATCGACCATAAAAATTCCATTCGAATGCCTTTGATCTTCGATTCAACTTCCAATAATTCCTCAGATACATATCAACATAAATTATATTAGAAACGGAGCTTAATTGCGATAAACGGATCGAATCGGGTGATAAATCAGTGAAAGACGGCTTATCGGGTTTGAATTTGGCGAAACGGACTTCGGATTTGGATTCAAGACGTCGAAAGCATAAAATTTGACTTTTCAAAAAATTTAAATTTTCGGTCAAAATCGAAGTCAACGGGTTTGACCGGTAATTACAGGGCCTTCGGGTTCAAATTTTGAAAAACGGATAGCGGAATCGGATTTGGAACGTCGAAAAATGTCAGGATAGGTATACTCGGTCGAAGTCAAAGGTCGTTTAATGCCCGGTTAAAGCCAATCAAAGTTTTGGTCAACAGTGGTCAACGTCGGTCAACGGTCAACGGTCAACGGGTTGGATCAACGGGTCGGGTCGGTTAACTGGTCGGGTAAACGGGTCGGGTCGGGTTATGACTGGTCAAACTGGTCAAATGGGTTACAAAACTGGTCAAACCGGTCATTTCTTCTTCCCTACGCGTAGTGGCGGCGCGTGAACAGTGCTAAATTCCTGAAAAAATTTCTAAAAATTATTTTGAGTGATTTCGAGATACTTACAAAGCTCGGTTCATAATTTTGAATGGCGGAGAGCTCGATTTCAACAAATTGGAAACTTTGACCGCTTCACCTCCTCATGCGCCGCCGTCAACGGAGACCAAGGATGACACCGGCAAACTCGGAACGATGCAACGAACACGATGGTGCGGGAGGTGTCGTAAACGGATGACTCGATCGTCGTGAATCAATGAAAAACCAATTAAAATTGAGTTATTACCGACGATACTTCCGACTGAAATTAACGACGAACGGAGATGATTCACGATGAAAGGTTTGAGGGGTTTTGTTCCTCGGTTGACAACGAACACGATGGTGGTTTCGGCTCGTCGATCGGAGGTCGGACGGCGAGTAGATCGGAGTTGAATGGAGGGTTGTTGGAGAAGGGAAAACTGAAAATTTTGCAGAAAAACAATCAGGGGAAGATGTTATAATTCATGCCTAAAGAAAAATGGGTAAACCATGAGTTTAGTCACTGAACTTCCTGCACTTATTAAAATGGTATGTCAACTTTACGATTTTATGATTTAATCCTCAATTTTCTTCCAAAATACCAATTAAATTCACCACTTTATAATTTCTTAAATTTAAACCCTAAATTGGGATGTTACACCTGCCTAGCATATATATTATTAAACTGAAATGTTCAGTTGACACCATGTGCATTGTAGCTAGCTCCGGTTGTATCATCCACCAGAAAGTCCCCGGCATAGCCTCGATAAGCTCTATTACCATAAATCCCATGTCAGGCCGATGCATTGTTTTGAAAATCGGACCGGACCGGCCGGTTTAACCGGGAACCGTTACCTAGTCTAGTTCAATCTAAACCGGTTGAACCGCTACTAGTGAACCGGCCAGAACTGTTCGAACCGGACCGGCTGAAAACCAAAAAAAACGGGAAAAACCTGAAAATTTTGTTTTGTTTTAAATTAAATCAAACGTCGTTTGTTAAACGAGCCAAGTCAAACTCGAGTATTGCTGAGCTCGACTCAAACTTGAAAACTTTAAAAGTAAGCTCAACTCCACTCAAACTCACAAGTTAAAAATTATCAAGTTCAACTCGAACTCGAAATATAATATTGAAACTTTAACTCAAAAAGGCTTGAACTAAAAAAAATTAGAAGCTCAATTGAAGCCTAAAATTCGAGCTTAATTGAAGTGAAAGAATAGTTCACTCAATGCTCACCAAAAGGCTCCATGATTTTGAATGCCAAATTACCTCTATTATTTATAGAAGTTATTTGTGATGCTCTTCTATGTTTCTTAGCAATGTGGGATTGTTTTGTTCTCATATTTTTACTCTTTAGACTTTTGGGATGCTCTTCTATGTTTCTTAGCCATGTGGGATTGTTTTTAAAAAAAATTAAACCAAACAATATCATTTTGTTATGATTTTTTAGCCCTAAATTTATTTTTTAATTATAGTTATATAATTATATTTATTATTTAATATTTTTTACCTTAAATATTATGTTGTAATTAATTTGAATCATTTTGTTTCACTTGATTTTATGGTTTTTAATTTATATATGTTATGACTTGCTTTGAATATGACTTGTGATATAAAAAATTATTTTTTATTAAATATTTTTGGTATTTTTATTTAATTTTTAAAATAATTATGACGTCGTCCGGTTCTTCTGACCGGTCTGACCGGTTCGACCGGTTGGACCAGTGAACCGGTATCATGGTCGGTTCTGTAACCGATCCGGTTCTAAAAACCATGGGCCGATGCAGCCTACATTGATGCCTCTTTTGGACCCTGATAGTAGCCGTTTCCAAAATGCTTCGTGGCAGTCCCTACCAAGAGGCTAGCCAAGGTGCAACTAATGAACTACTTGTAAATTTATTGAGTCGAGTTAGACTTTGCTCAACTAAACTTATTAAGATTTCGAGTCGAGTCAACATGAATCTAACATTGATTGAGTTTTAACGAACAGCTCACGTGCTGCTTAACTCATTAAACACCCCTAGTTGGAAATAAGCATCGATGAAAGTAGCCTGTTAAATATTAGTCTCTATGTCCCATTAAATATGCCCAATTGACTTTTTTTAGTCAATTTTTTTTTTTAAATTTGACTCATTATTATTTCAAATTTATTATTGATAAAAATATAAAAAAAATATATATATTTTAGAAACCTTAAATCAAGTAGTTTTCTATTATATATTTTATAAAATTTAACTATTTAAAATATTTAAAATAATCATGGTCAAAGTTTGATTTTTTTTTTTAAAGTCAATAACGGACACATTTAGTGGGGCGGAGGGAGTAGTAAACATGTTTAAAAATAATATATAGTGAAATTAATAATTATTTTTTTAATAAGTAAATATATTTGGAATTGTCCGTCTAACTCAGTTGGTAGAGCGCAAGGCTCTTAACCTTGTGGTCGTGGGATCGAGTCTCACGGTGGGCAATTCATAATGCTAGAGGTCTCCCACGGAAGCTGCTCTCAAACTGGCGTTAAGAGTAGCCTACTACCTTACATCCCCCTTACCTCCATTACATATGGGAATATGGTCAGCTAATTTATTTAGAATTTATTAAAAAAAGAGTAAATTTATAATACATGACTAATTTTTCTTTAAATTAATGTCACGATAGATTAACAATTTAATCGAGGTCTCACACGGAAGCTGTTCTCAATCTGACGTTGGGGGCAGCCTACTATCCTACCTCCCCCTTACCCCATTATATATGATAATAGGATCAACTAATTTTATTTTATTTTATCAAGTCTATCTTAATACAGATCATTCAGATTAAGACTATAAAATCATTGAAAACATTTAATAAACTTAACTTCTCAAAATTTAATTGGTGAATTCATCAAGTAGATCTTAATAGAACCACCGAAATCAATTAATATAAATTCATTAAGAGTAAAAAAATTTACTTTCACGTCAATAAATTAATTATTTCCTTTTCATTAGAATTATCCAAAATCTAACATATAAATGCACTAAGAGCATAATTTTAACTTTATGCATGTACATTATTTGTCAAATGATTAAAGTTTGTCATTTAATTTGAATTTGATGAGTTTTGATTTGAACCGATCTGGTAGGTTAGATTTTTTTTTTAATTTGAGTTTGGCTGGAAGGTGAAAAAACTCTGATCCTACTCTATCCGAGGATAATAACTGGAAGGTGAAAAAACTCTGACCCTACTCTATCCGAGGATAATAATGTAATTTCCTTAAAAAAATTTATTTTTTAATTAAGTTCTTAATTTATATCGAGTCAGATTGGGTCAGATTTGTACTCTAAAGATTCGATTTGGGTCGCAGTCAGATTGAGAGTATATATTTTTCGGGTCGAATCAGGTCGGATGAAAGATATAAAATTTACAGGCCGGATCAGGTTCGGGTAAAGGATGTATATTTTCGGATCACGTAGGGATGACCAAAAACTCTACCCTAATCCAACTCGTTACCATCTCTACGAATGATATGTAAAAATGTACACTATAATTTTTTTATAATCTCATATGATCAAATTAAACGTAAAAGATTAAATTAAATATCAACTATGAATTGGTTAAGGTTTATTTTTATTAATGAATCATAAATCAAAACTTTTGTAAATCAAGTCAAACACATCCTAAACCTGAAACAAATTATCTATCACAAATTTAAATCAATATTTAAAAGTTAGCTGGAGAAATCGAATTATTATAAACATATTTTCTATTAATTATCTTTCGATTACATCAAATAAAAGCGCAAAAAGAAAACAAAACAAAAAAGACAAAGTTTGAATTAAAAATAACTATTTTTCGATGAAAACGTAGAATTTTATTTTATTTTATTAAAAAAACTAATTGAGCTGAATAAACAATGTTTTTTTCAAACAAAGCAGAATAAATTGATGGACCAATAATTCCTTTAAATTAAATGATTATTCGTGTAAGCCAGAATTTTTGTAATTTAATCAGTTTAATTTTTTTTTTGACTTCTTAATTTAATCAGTTTAATTATATGGACTAACGTGCACCTTTTATAATTATCCATTTGCACAGAGTCAATAATTTTACCAACATATAAAAGCACCGTCTATGCCCAGAAATCTGCCTTTGTTTCAACTCTTTAGGTTTCTGACACTTTGATCTGTCCACAGAAATTTCATGATTGCATCTTTTATCTGTTGAAATTACGAATATCTGAAGCTCCCAGAATCGGTTGTGGGCCTTCGATGGGTACGAAGGTATGGGAAATGAGGATCCTAACATTGTTTTTGTGGTGGAAGCTAACGTGCGCCGCCTACGTCCCCGTTAGGGTTCCGACGTGCCCCAAGAATTCCGTTCTTGAAGCGGTCTCTTACTTTGGTGGTCCCTTTTGCCCCGATAACTCCGATTTTAACGAATCTATCAATTTCGTTGGAGTCACCGAGGTACCTTGATAATTTTTTCCTTTTCTTTAATCCGATTAATTTCCCATTTCAATTTTATGCATTAGCTGATTTGATCATATGCTGTGTATGTTTTGAACTAAGTTTTAGAGAATTTTTAGTTAAAGTTTGTGCCTTTCTTTAAAGTTGTTAGCTGATAGATATGCAATCAAGAAATTAGGGATGAATTTAGGGTTTTTCACTTGGGCTTCTTGCCAGAGTGAACTTTGCTTGAGTAAGCCAAAAGGTTTGAAGATTCTTTGGTCCATATGAAAATTATGATATAGCCTCCTTAAATTTCATTAAGATAAACACTTTGGTTGAGGTCTTGGTCGTGTTTTCGGTTTTGTTGCGTTTATCACGCTTGGGGGGTTCTATTGCGGTCATTGAGGGTATCGTGGTTGTGCAATAATGGTTTCGGACGGAGCTTTTACTGCTATATAATGACCTCTACTTTGATAGCAGACTGCTATTTAAATCCCTGGCTCTAGGTTCAAAGACTAAAGGAATGAACATTTCTGAGATTAAGTCCTTGTTACAACGGCACATAATTCTGATTATTCTCTTTTTTGGGTACATATTTTAATTATATTCTCTGTCTCTCTGTAGGGAGATGAGATTTCATTGCAAAAGGCGCTCGACATGGTTCATAGGAACAGCCATAAATTTGTAGCAGTGCTTTTCTATGCATCTTGGTGCCCTTTTTCAAGGTCTTTCAGACCAAGCTTCACGATCCTTTCATCTTCCTATCCTTCCATTCCACATTTTGCTATAAAAGAATCAGCCGTCAGGCCGAGGTTTGCTATCGAATATCTTTCAGTTTGGTTTATGCAGTGCTATATCACATTTAAACTAATTAATGGTGGTGTTTGATTTCTTCAGCATACTCTCAAAGTATGGAGTTCATGGGTTTCCTACTCTTTTCCTTTTAAATTCTAGGATGCGTGTACGTTATCATGGAAACCGGTCTGTTGAATCAGTCGGTGCTTTCTATAAAGATGTCACTGGTAAGGCCTTTTCTTCTTCAACGTTTGAGTTTCTATTATTCTGGAGATCGATATTATGTTGGTTTTTAGTTATTCTGGTGCTCCATTTATTACCATGCATTTTGGCTGTGTTAGTGCACAAGATTATGGATCGGATACAGTATGAGTGATAAATTGTTTTGGAACACTAAACCATCTTCATTTGCTCTTTGCTTTTGGTGTATGTATGTAAGGCAAAAAAACGTAGCATCTCATCATACATAATCTTATCCATGTGTGATTTTATGAAGATCGTATAATCCTATAGGAATCTTGTTTAGTTTTCTCATGAAGATGTTACATTGTTCTAGGCTTTAAGAACAAATCCCTGGATAGAACACTGCTGGACACAATCCGACATGTATCGAAACATGAGAAGCATAATATCACAGAGCAGGAAAGCTGCTCATTCTCTTGGGCGGGATCTCCGCAGAATTTACTTCAACAAGAGACCTACTTAGCCTTAGCCACCGCTTTTGTGGTTTTAAGGTTGCTATACCTGTTGTATCCAACGTTACTAGTATTCGCGCATTTCACTTGGAGACGGCTCAATCGAAAGGTGAAGTTGGGAACCATGTTGGAACATCCGGTGGCTTACCTGAAACGAAAATTTCAGTTCATTTCCCCGAAAGAGCCCTGCAAGAGAAGCAACTTGCACGGTGCAATGGATGCTAGAGCATGGGCTTCTAAATCCCTTGCAACTGTTGCAATCGGCGATGCTAATTGTAGTTGGTCTATGCGGATGAATGGATCTATCTGACCCTTTTAGCCGGCATCGCTTGGAAGCGGGAGCCTCTTTGTCGGGTTTTCCTCCACGGCTGCTTTGATGTAGTTCTGTGAATTATGTGACTGAATGTTTTGATGCTGTAATAGTTAAATTTCATTTGTTGATATGATATTAGAATTATATATCTTCCCACATAAGAGGCACTGCAATTTGTGGATTTTTTTAGTAGAGCAGTGTATGAATATGACTATTGATGTTGCAGTTATGAAGCATAACCCATTTGCTACTGCAAATGTTATTTGCTTATACGGTGTGTGTTGCATATGAATATGCTTCATGTATTTCAAACATCTTTTTATACCCGGATTTAAATTGTGATTGTAATATGCTCTCGATTACATTACGTTTATCGTGTTTGCAACAATAGCATGTGCTATTACAATCATTGTGGATATCATAATTATGAAATAACGATTTTAAATAGTATCTTTATTGTTATATAACAACTGTTATTTTGATAGTAGATCACTATTTAAATTCCCATTACTTCTTTGGCACCTTTGATGTCTAAGGTGACAAGTCTCAATGATGTGATACTAACTAGGCCCATCGTTTTGCATATGCTTCTCGTTATATACTTTATATCCTTTATGCATCCTATTGGTTCAAACCTTTACATTCATATCATATTATATACTTAAAATATCATGTCATCCATATCATACACATATGAGTGATGATTGCATTTCATTTCTAAGGATATTATTATTATATGTTTCCGTTCATCATTTATGAATACCATATTCATCATACTTTGTTATACCATACATTCATTTTATGTTAAGCTTAGTCGTGATATGCTACAGTCCTTATATTGTGTCCATCATATACTTTGCTTAACATAATGCATTCATTCACATCTTTATTTAGCTTATGATATGTTCTTGCATCATTATCTAGCTCATTATATGCATTACATTCATTGCATTTAATAAGTGTGCTGATTATTAAAACATGCATTGCATTTAAGCTTCTAGTTCATTTGGGAAGTAGCTCATTTATGAACTTAGTTCATGCACCTTAGTTCATTCTATAAAGTTAGTTCATTCATATAACTAGTTCATTAATCTAACTAACCCTTTAATTGTTTTCATGCATATTTCATTTGAAGTTTGAATAAAGTCTGTGTGTGTCTTGGTGCATGGAATGTGTGGATAGATTCAAGACAAGGGAGAGACCTTTCATCTTCCACCAAGAGATAAGCCATTGAAGACCATCTTAACTCACCCGTTCAAGACAATTCAAGGCCGATTTCTCTTCTTTTTTCAAGGGTTGCTCGTATTCCAACCAAGGCAATGCATTTAAGTGTTTTAATTCACCTATTCAAGGCTGAATTTATCATCTTTAGAGGCCATTCACGGGTTGGTATGAGGACAAGAAATTACAAGTATTTAAAGCTTGTATTCAAGGCTATTATTATCACATTTTGAAGGGTTTTTTTTTTCAAGTGCTCCAAGAAGACATGCAATCAAGGCTGAATTATTTCACTTATTAATATAATTAAGTGATATAAATCAGCATAGAATGAAAAGAGACCCTCTAAAGTGGATGACAAGAGCATTATAACCATTTAAAGCCTCCATTCAAGTCAGTTTATCTCCTAATCAAACAAAGCAAGGCAGCCCAAGAGTCACCACTCCTTTTGGACGAAAATTAGGCTAGATACATTCATAATTCAGCTCAAATTCATCCAAATTTAATCAATATGGCCGACCACATCAAGAGAGAAGAAAGACAAAGCATTTAAATGTAATTAAAGTGCATTTAGATGTGCATTCATTCATCTTTTGTAAACTTTTCATGTGCAGCCTAAGAAACACTACAAAAGGGCACCTAGGATCATTGTAAATACAACCTTTTGTTTATATAGAAATCCTTTGAGAGTATTTTATTTCAACTTAGTTCTTTGAGAACTCTAATGGCTTCAAGTCAATCTTGTAGTTTTCATCCATTCCACTAGCAAATAACGTTGGTTCCTAGTTCCTTTAACTAGTGGTTCATGTTCTATACTCTACCATTTCGATCCCATCTTTTATATTGTTGGTTCTTAGCTCCAAATAGCTAATGGGTCACAATCCACTTTAACCTTACAACACTTACCACGCCAACACCACTTGCTACGACAACAGTACTTGCCACAACAATACCATTCATACTTCACATTTACTTTCATTATCATTAAACCACAATAACCATCACTTTTCCATCACCTTCAAACAACTTCTTCATTTTTTCATTATATCATTTCAATTATTATTTCATATCATTTCCATCTTATGCTTATATTTATGTAATTTCAGAGTTCAAGCTATCACTATTGGGTTTCTTACTAGAATCACGATAGAGAAACTACGTACATGACTCGGAACATCAAATCGGGATCATATCACTTGATGTAGCCATCAACAATCATAGCTATTTTGCACATTTTTTAGAGTTAAATGCATCACATATAGGCACATGAAAAATTTTAAACTGACTCAAACTTTTAAATATTTTAATTTCATCCTAAAATTATGACTTTCATTTTAAAATGGTTTTAAAACTTTTAAAACTTCCAATTTCAGCTAAATATTTACTTTCAATCATAGTTTAACCTAATATTTTTCAAACATATATATATATTATAATTTGGCTTTATAATTTTATAAATAAGGAATGTAATTAGCATATACTTACAATCGAATATGAAATTAAAATATTCAAGAATTGACAATCCATAGATGTATGAAGATTAGTTTTTGAATAAAAATTATAATATAGAGATGAAATCGAAATTCTTAAAAATTGATATTTCATAGTCATAATGTAAAAGTAAGTGTTCAAACTAAATCCAAAGTTAACTTTTAAGTGTCTAAAGAATTTTTCGTTAAAAATAAGGGTTTAACATTTTCTCTGTTATACTTTTAGATGTATAATGTTTTCGACATTATATTTTTAGGTGTTTGAGCTTAGGGGTGAGCAAACTCGACTCGACTTGACTCGAAAAATCATTTTTTTTTCAATTTTGAGTTATTCGAGTCAACTCGAATTATCAATTCGTTTTTCGAGTTCGAGTCAAGTTGAAATTTTGAAAATTTCGAGTCACTCAAAAAATTGAAAATTTAACTATGTATTTTGACATTTTTACAATTTAGCCCATGATTTCATTATTCCTTCAATTCCCCCTTCATTTCAAGTCTATTTTTAACCAAATTGGAACCACGTGCTCCTAAACTATCATAGAATACATATGTAATTTCAATTTTTACTTTTCAGTAACAAGTTTTATATTTTTCAATTTAATCCCTCAATTTTTTACAATTTCCTTATTTTTTTAATTAATCTTTATTTTAAGTATTTTTTACTAAATTTGAACTACATGCTCATATAACACATATAATACCTTGTAACTTCAATTCTTAGTTTTTACTAAAAATGTACTTTTTTTTAACTTAGATCCTTAAAATTGCATTTTACTTAATTTGATCTTTTAACTGTAATTGTTTGCAAGTTCTTTCTCTCAATCAATTCCTTGACTATTTTATAATCTTATCAATATTTTACCCTCAAAATAAAGAAAAATATAATATTGTGAATATATTTTATAATTTTAGATTTTATTTGATTTATTAAATAACATTATAATGTGAAAAGAATATGAAACATATATATCTTATATGGTTAGTGAAAGTCAAAAAATTGGAATGATTTATTACTATAATACTATAAATAATTATAGTAAAATTACTATAGAAACTCGAATAACACGACTAAAATTTTTAAGTTAAGTTCGAGTTGTAAAATACGACTCGTTAGCTCAAATAACTCAAAATTTTTTACTCGACTCAATCGAATGCTCACACCGTACTTGAATTATAACAACCATTGAAAAATACAGTTATTTGACGCAAATCAGGCTTATAAAATTTTAAAAGTTTTATTTTGTAATAAAAATAAAATTTATAATGTATTTTTAAAAAAATCTATTTTTTTAGAATTATAAACAAACCCAAAACTTTAAGTGGTAGAGGATTGAATTGGGATTTAAAAAAAAACTTTAGGTATATTTGAACCCTTATTTTCGCATTAAATCTATTTCATATTTTGATATATTAGATATGCCTATTGTTGTGAAAAATCCTTATACATCTCTCAAAAAGTTTTTAAATTAATTCGTAAATTATTAATTTGATCTTTACATTTTAATTTTAATTTTCTTATTCATGCATTTTTAAATAGTTAAAATATGTCCTTAATTACTGTACATTTACTAAGATTAAAATTAAATCCCTGTATTTTTATTTCAAAAAATTTAATTCCTTTATTTTTGAAATTAAAATTTTAAATATCAAATGAAGTGTACAATGATAGATGCATAAACCCTAAAACATCAACCATTCCTAAAGAAGTAGAGATGTAGCAGAGAAAGGGAATCATAGAAGCAAGGGAAGTGCAAAAACTATGAAAGGAACCCCAAATCTTTGGCTGGAAACTAATTAATGTATGCCTCCAGAACAAAGCCATCAAGAAATCGATATCAGATCTCAAATCCTTGCAGCCGAAAGGAGAGGCAATTTCCATAACTGAATCTTCCACAATCTTTTTAAACCCTAAATTATTGATCGAAAACCCTTTTTTTAAAAACCCCTTAAACCCTAGATCATCCCTAAAGAAAAAGAGGTGTACCAAAGAAAGGGAGTCATAGAAGCAAGGAAAGTACAAATTACTATGAAAGAAAACCCAATCTTTGGATGGGAATTAATGTATGCCTCTAGAACAAAGCCATCAAGAAATCGATACCAATTCAAAGATTCTCGCAGCCGAAAGGAGAGGTAATTTCCAAAACCATTTCCAAAACAGATAACTAAGGGAAGAAACAAACAACTATAACAAGAGGAACGGATTAGATATATTTATACTGAAACATGGTGACACTAAACCCTAATTGCTGGATTTTTAGGGTAAATTATACATTTAGTATTTAAACCATCAGTTTTGATTCATTTTAGCACTTAAACTTTTAATTTTTTCAAAATCATATCTAATGTTTAGTTTTTTTTTTTATTTTAGTACCCACATTAAAAACTTAATGAACGAGCTTGTCAGTCTTTCGTGTCTACAATCGTCACACCTTTTCAAACACTGAACATGATTTCGACCTTCATTTAACCATAAAAATACCTCAATCTCCCCAAATCAACGATGAACTCTTTGACTTCTTCATCCTTTGATCTTCATCGTAAA